CCGCTCGCCTGGCCTCTCGCCTGGTCGCTCGCCTGGCCGCTCGTCTGGCCGCTCGCCTGGCCTCTCGCTTGGCCGCTCGCCTGGCCGCTAGGCTGGGCGCTCGGCTTTGAGCGCCGGCTGTGAGCGCCGGCTGTGAGCGCCAACTCTGAGCGCCGGCTCTGAGTGCCGGCTCTGAGCGCCGGCTCGCCTGGCCGCATGCTGGCCGCTCGCATTGCCGCTCGCCTGGCCGCTCGCCTGGCCGCTCGCATGGCCGCTCGCCTGGCCGCTCGCCTGGCCGCTTGCCTGGCCGCTCGCCTGGCCGTTCGCCTGCGTTCGCCGGCTCTGAGCGCCGACCCTGAGCGCCCGCCCGGCTGGCCGCTCGCAATGCCGCTCGCCTGGCCGCTCGCCTTGCCGCTCGCCTGGCCGCCCGTCTGGTCGCTCGCCTGGCCGCTCGGCTGGCCGCTCGTCTTTGAGCGCCGGCTTTGAGCGCGGCTCTGAGCGCCGGCTCTGAGCGCCGGACCTGAGCGCCGGCCCGCCTGGCCGCTCAAAATGCCGCTCGCCTGGCCGCTCGCCTGGCCGCTCGCTTGGCCGCCCGCCTGGTCGCTCGCCCGGCCGCTCGCCTGGCCGCTCGCATTGCCGCTCGCCTGGCCGATCGCCTGGGCGCTCGCCTGGCCGCTCGCCTGGTCGCTCGCCTGGCCGCTCGCCTGGCCGCTCGCCTTGCCGCTCGGCTGGCCGTTAGGCTTTGAGCGCCGGCTCTGAGCACCGGATTTGAGCGCAGGCTCTGAGCGCCGGCTCTGAGCGCCGGCTTGCCTGGCCGCTCGCCTGGCCGCTCGCCAGGCCGCTCGTCTGGCCGCTCGGCTGACCGCTCGGCTTTGAGCGCCGACTCTGAGCGCCGGCTCTGAGCGACGGCTCTGAGCGCCGGCTCTGAGCGCCGGCTGTCAGCGCCGGCTGTGAGCGCCGGCTCTAAGCGCCTGCTCTGAGGGCCGGCTCTGAGCGCCTGCTCTGAGTGGCGGCTCGCCTGGCCACTCGCCTGGCCGCTCGCCTGGCCGCTCGCCTGGCCAATCGACTGGCCGCTCGCCTGGTCGCTCGCCTGGCCGCTCGCCTGGCCGCTCGCCTTGCCGCTCGGCTGACGGCTCGGCTCTGAGCGACGGCTCTAAACGCCGGCTCTGAGCGTCGGCTGTCAGCGCCGGCTGTGAGCGCCGGCTCTAAGCGCCTGCTCTGAGCGCCGGCTCTGAGCGCCAGCTCTGAGCGGCGGCTCGCCTGGCCACTCGCCTGGCCGCTCGCCTGGCCGCTCGCCTGGCCGCTCGCCTGGCCGCTCGCCTTGCCGCTCGGCTGGCTGCTCGTCTTTGAGCGCGGGCTCTGAGCGCCGGCTCTGAGCGCCGGCTCGCCTGGCCGCTCGCATGGCCGCTCGCCTGGCCGCTCGCCTGGCCGTTCGGCTGACCGCTCGGCTCTGAGCGCCGGCTCTGAGCGCCGGCTCTGAGCGCAAACTCTGAGCGCCGGCTCTGAGCGCCGGCTCTGAACTTCGGCTCTGAGCGCCGGCTCGCCTGGCCGCTCGCCTGGCCGCTCGCCTGGCCGCTCGCCTGGCCGCTCGCCTGGCCTCTCGCCTGGTCGCTCGCCTGGCTGCTCGTCTGGCCGTTCGCCTGGCCTCTCGCTTGGCCGCTCGCCTGGCCGCTAGGCTAGGCGCTCGGCTTTGAGCGCCGGCTGTGAGCGCCGGCTGTGAGTGCCAACTCTGAGCGCCGGCTCTGAGCGCCGGCTCTGAGCGCCGGCTCTGTGCGCCGGCTCTGAGCGCCGGCTTGCCTGCTGGACGCTCGCATTGCCGCTCGCCTGGCCGCTCGCCTGGCCGCTCGCATGGCCGCTCGCCGCTCGCCTGGCCGCTCGCCTGGCCGCTCGTCTGGCCGTTCGCCTGGCCTCTCGCCTGGCCGCTAGGCTGGGCGCTCGGCTTTGAGCGCCGGCTGTGAGCGCCGGCTGTGAGCGCCGACTCTGAGTGCCGGCTCTGAGCGCAGGCTCGCCTGGCCGCATGCTGGCCGCTCGCATTGCCGCTCGCCTGGCCGCTCGCCTGGCCGCTCGCATGGCCGCTCGCCTGGCCGCTCGCCTGGCCGCTTGCCTGGCCGCTCGCCTGGCCGTTCGCCTGGCCGTTCGCCTGCGTTCGCCGGCTCTGAGCGCCGACTCTGAGCGCCCGCCTGCCTGGCCGCTCACAATGCCGCTCGCCTGGCCGCTCGCCTGGCCGCTCGCCTGGCCGCCCGTCTGGTCGCTCGCCTGGCCGCTCGGCTGGCCGCTCGTCTTTGAGCGCCGGCTTTGAGCGCCGGCTCTGAGCGCCGGCTCTGAGCGCCGGCTCTGAGCGCCGGCTCTGAGGGCCTACTCTGAGCGCCGGCTTTGAGCGCCGGGCCTGAGCGCCGGCTCTGAGCCCTGGCCCGCCTGGCCGCTCGCAATGCCGCTCGCCTGGCCGCTCGTTGGCCGCCCGCCTGGTCGCTCGCCCGGCCGCTCGCCTGGCCGCTCGCATTGCCGCTCGCCTTGCCGATCGCCTGGCCGCTCGCCTGGCCGCTCGCCTGGCCGCTCGCCTGGCCGCTCGCCTGGCCGCTCGCCTGGCCGCTCGCTTGGTCGCTCGCCTGGCCGCTCGCCTGGCCGCTCGCCTGGCCGCTCGCCTGGCCGCTCGCCTGGTCTCTCGCTTGGCCGCTCGGCTGGCCGCTCGGCTTTGAGCGCCGGCTCGCCAGGCCGCATGCTGGCCGCTCGCATTGCCGCTCGCCTGGCCGCTCGCATGGCCGCTCGCATGGCCGCTCGCCTGGCCGCTCGCCTGGCCGCTTGCCTGGCCGCTCACCTGGCCGTTCGCCTGCGTTTGCCGGCTCTGAGCGCCCGCCCGCCTGGCCGCTCGCAATGCCGCTCGCCTGGCCGCTCGCCCGGCCGCTCGCCTGGCCGCCCGTCTGGTCGCTCGCCTGGCCGTTAGGCTGGCCGCTCGTCTTTGAGCGCCGGCTTTGAGCGCCGGCTCTGAGCGCCGGCTCTGAACGCCGGCTCTGAGGGCCTACTCTGAGCGCCGGCTTTGAGCGCCGGACCTGAGCGCCCGCTCTGAGCGCCGGCCCGCCTGGCCGCTCGCAATGCCGCTCGCCTGGCCGCTCGCCTCGCCGCTCGCCTTGCCGCTCGCCTGGCCGCTCGCCTGGCAGCTCGCATGGCCGCTCGCCTGGCCGCTCGCCTGGCCGCTCGCCTGGCCGTTCGCCTGCGTTCGCCGGCTCTGAGCGCCCGCCCGCCTGGCCGCTCGCAATGCCGCTCGCCTGGCCGCTCGCCTGGCCACTCGCCTGGCCGCCCGTCTGGTCGCTCGCCTGGCCGCTCGGCTGGCCGCTCGTCTTTGAGCGCCGGCTTTGAGCGCCGGCTCTGAGCGCCGGCTCTGAGCGCCGGCTCTGAACGCCGGCTCTAAGGGCCTACTCTGAGCGCCGGCTTTGAGCGCCGGACCTGAGCGCCGGCCCGCCTGGCCGCTCGCAATGCCGCTCGCCTGGCCGCTCGCCTGGCCGCTCGCCTGGCCGCCCGCCTGGTCGCTCGCCCGGCCGCTCACCTGGCCGCTCGCATTGCCGCTCGCCTGGCCGATCGCCTGGCTGCTCGCCTGGCCGCTCGCCGGGCCGCTCGCCTGGCCGCTCGCCTGGTCGCTCGCCTGGCCGCTTGCCTGGCCGCTCGCCTGGCCGCTCGCCTGGCCTCTCGCTTGGCCGCTCGGCTGGCCGCTCGGCTGGCCGCTCGGCTGGCCGCTCGGCTTTGAGCGCCGGCTCTGAGCGTCGGCTCTGAGTGCCGGCTTTCAGCGCCGGCTATGAGCGCCGTATCTGAGCGCCGGTTCTGAGCGCCGGCTCTGAGCGCCGGCTCTGAGCGCCGGCTCTGAGGGCCGGCTCTGAGCGCCGGCTCTGAGCGCCGGCTGTGAGCGCCGGCTCTAAGCGCCTGCTCTGAGCGCCGGCTCTGAGCGCCTGCTCTGAGCGGCGGCTCGCCTGGCCGCTCGCCTGGCCGCTCGACTGGCCGCTCGCCTGGCCGCTCGCCTGGCCGCTCGCCTGTCCGCTCACCTGGCCGCTCGGCTGGCTGCTCGTCTTTGAGCGCGGGCTCTGAGCGTCGGCTCTGAGCGCCGGCTCGCCTGGCCGCTCGCATGGCCGCTCGCCTGGCCGCTCGCCAGGCCGTTCGGCTGACCGCTCGGCTCTGAGCGCCGGCTCTGAGCGCCGGCTCCGAGCGCCGGCTCTGAGCGCCGGCTCTGAGCGCCGGCTCTGAGTGTCGTCTCTGAGCGCCGGCTCTGAGTGCCGCTCGCCTCGCCGCTCGCCTGGCCGCTCGCCTGGCCGCTCGCTTGGCCGCTCGCCTGGCCGCTCGCCGGGCCGTTCGCCTGGCCGCTCACCTTGCAGCTCGGCTGGCCGTTAGGCTTTGAGCGCCGGCTTTGAGGACTGGATTTGAGCGCAGGCTCTGAGCGCCAGCTCTGATCACCGGCTCGCCTGGCCGCTCGCCTGGCCGCTCGCCTGGCCTCTCACCTTGTCGCTCGCCTGGCCGCTCGCCCGGCCGCTTGAAGGACGGTTCTGAGCGCCGGTTCTGAGCGCCGGCTCTGAGCGCCGGCTGTGAGCGCCGGCTCTAAGCGCCTGCTCTGAGCGCCGGCTCTGAGCGCCTGCTCTGAGCGGCGGCTCGCCTGGCCGCTCGCCTGGCCGCTCGACTGGCCGCTCGCCTGGCCGCTCGCCTGGCCGCTCGCCTGTCCGCTCGCCTGGCCGCTCGGCTGGCTGCTCGTCTTTGAGCGCGGGCTCTGAGCGTCGGCTCTGAGCGCCGGCTCGCCTGGCCGCTCGCATAGCCGCTCGCCTGGCCGCTCGCCAGGCCGTTCGGCTGACCGCTCGGCTCTGAGCGCCGGCTCTGAGCGCCGGCTCCGAGCGCCGGCTCTGAGCGCCGGCTCTGAGCGCCGGCTCTGAGTGTCGTCTCTGAGCGCCGGCTCTGAGTGCCGCTCGCCTCGCCGCTCGCCTGGCCGCTCGCCTGGCCGCTCGCTTGGCCGCTCGCCTGGCCGCTCGCCGGGCCGTTCGCCTGGCCGCTCACCTTGCAGCTCGGCTGGCCGTTAGGCTTTGAGCGCCGGCTTTGAGGACTGGATTTGAGCGCAGGCTCTGAGCGCCAGCTCTGATCACCGGCTCGCCTGGCCGCTCGCCTGGCCGCTCGCCTGGCCTCTCACCTTGTCGCTCGCCTGGCCGCTCGCCCGGCCGCTTGAAGGACGGTTCTGAGCGCCGGTTCTGAGCGCCGGCTCTGAGCGCCGGCTCTAAGCGCCTGCTCTGAGCGCCGGCTCTGAGCGCCTGCTCTGAGCGGCGGCTCGCCTGGCCCCTCGCCTGGCCGCTCGACTGGCCGCTCGCCTGGCCGCTCGCCTGGCCGCTCGCCTGTCCGCTCGCCTGGCCGCCTGGCCGCTCGGCTGGCTGCTCGTCTTTGAGCGCGGGCTCTGAGCGCGGGCTCTGAGCGCCGGCTCGCCTGGCCGCTCGCATGGCCGCTCGCCTGGCCGCTCGCCTGGCCGTTCGGCTGACCGCTCGGCTCTGAGCGCCGGCTCTGAGCGCCGGCTCCGAGCGCCGGCTCTGAGCGCCGGCTCTGAGCGCCGGCTCTGAGTGTCGTCTCTGAGCGCCGGCTGTGAGTGCCGGCTCGCCTCGCCGCTCGCCTGGCCGCTCGCCTGGCCGCTCGCCTGGCCGCTCGCCGGGCCGTTCGCCTGGCCGCTCACCTTGCAGCTCGGCTGGCCGTTAGGCTTTGAGCGCCGGCTTTGAGGACTGGATTTGAGCGCAGGCTCTGAGCGCCAGCTCTGATCACCGGCTCGCCTGGCCGCTCGCCTGGCCGCTCGCCTGGCCTCTCGCCTGGTCGCTCGCCTGGCCGCTCGTCTGGCCGCTCGCCTGGCCTCTCGATTGGCCGCTCGCCTGGCCGCTAGGCTGGGCGCTCGGCTTTGAGCGCCGGCTGTGAGCGCCAACTCTGAGCGCCGGCTCTGAGTGCCGGCTCTGAGCGCCGGCTCGCCTGGCCGCATGCTGGCCGCTCGCATTGCCGCTCGCCTGGCCGCTCGCCTGGCCGCTCGCATGGCCGCTCGCCTGGCCGCTCGCCTGGCCGCTCGCCTGGCCGCTTGCCTGGCCGCTCGCCTGGCCGTTCGCCTGCGTTCGCCGGCTCTGAGCGCCGACCCTGAGCGCCCGCCCGCCTGGCCGCTCGCAATGCCGCTCGCCTGGCCGCTCGCCTGGCCGCTCGCCTAGCCGCCCGTCTGGTCGCTCGCCTGGCCGCTCGGCTGGCCGCTCGTCTTTGAGCGCCGGCTTTGAGCGCGGCTCTGAGCGCCGGCTCTGAGCGCCGGACCTGAGCGCCGGCCCGCCTGGCTGCTCAAAATGCCGCTCGCCTGGCCGCTCGCCTGGCCGCTCGCTTGGCCGCCCGCCTGGTCGCTCGCCCGGCCGCTCGCCTGGCCGCTCGCATTGCCGCTCGCCTGGCCGATCGCCTGTGCGCTCGCCTGGCCGCTCGCCTGGTCGCTCGCCTGGCCGCTCGCCTGGCCGCTCGCCTTGCCGCTCGGCTGGCCGTTAGGCTTTGAGCGCCGGCTCTGAGCACCGGATTTGAGCGCAGGCTCTGAGCGCCGGCTCTGAGCGCCGGCTTGCCTGGCCGCTCGCCTGGCTGCTCGCCAGGCCGCTCGTCTGGCCGCTCGGCTGACCGCTCGGCTTTGAGCGCCGACTCTGAGCGCCGGCTCTGATCGACGGCTCTGAGCGCCGGCTGTGAGCGCCGGCTCTAAGCGCCTGCTCTGAGCGCCGGCTCTGAGCGCCTGCTCTGAGTGGCGGCTCACCTGGCCACTCGCCTGGCCGCTCGCCTGGCCGCTCGCCTGGCCAATCGACTGGCCGCTCGCCTGGTCGCTCGCCTGGCCGCTCGCCTGGCCGCTCGCCTTGCCGCTCGGCTGACCGCTCGGCTCTGAGCGACGGCTCTAAACGCCGGCTCTGAGCGTCGGCTGTCAGCGCCGGCTGTGAGCGCCGGCTCTAAGCGCCTGCTCTGAGCGCCGGCTCTGAGCGCCAGCTCTGAGCGGCGGCTCGCCTGGCCACTCGCCTGGCCGCTCGCCTGGCCGCTCGCCTGGCCGCTCGCCTGGCCGCTCGCCTGGCCGCTCGTCTTGCCGCTCGGCTGGCTGCTCGTCTTTGAGCGCGGGCTCTGAGCGCCGGCTCTGAGCGCCGGCTCGCCTGGCCGCTCGCATGGCCGCTCGCCTGGCCGCTCGCCTGGCCGTTCGGCTGACCGCTCGGCTTTGAGCGCCGGCTCTGAGCGCCGGCTCTGAGCGCCGGCTCTGAGCGCCGGCTCTGAGCGCAAACTCTGAGCGCCGGCTCTGAGCGCCGGCTCTGAACTTCGGCTCTGAGCGCCGGCTCGCCTGGCCGCTCGCCTGGCCGCTCGCCTGGCCGCTCGCCTGACCGCTCGCCTGGCCGCTCGCCTGGCCTCTCGCCTGGTCGCTCGCCTGGCCGTTCGCCTGGCCTCTCGCTTGGCCGCTCGCCTGGCCGCTAGGCTAGGCGCTCGGCTTTGAGCGCCGGCTGTGAGCGCCGGCTGTGAGCGCCAACTCTGAGCGCCGGCTCTGAGCGCCGGCTCTGTGCGCCGGCTCTGAGCGCCGGCTTGCCTGCTGGCCGCTCGCATTGCCGCTCGCCTGGCCGCTCGCCTGGCCGGTCGCATGGCCGCTCGCCTGGCCGCTCGCCTGGCCGCTCGCCTGGCCGCTCGTCTGGCCGTTCGCCTGGCCTCTCGCCTGGCCGCTAGGCTGGGCGCTCGGCTTTGAGCGCCGGCTGTGAGCGCCGGCTGTGAGCGCCAACTCTGAGCGCCGGCTCCTAGTGCCGGCTCTGAGCGCCGGCTCGCCTGGCCGCATGCTGGCCGCATTGCCGCTCGCCTGGCCGCTCGCCTGGCCGCTCGCATGTCCGCTCGCCTGGCCGCTCGCCTGGCCGCTTGCCTGGCCGCTCGCCTGGCCGTTCGCCTGGCCGTTCGCCTGCGTTCGCCGGCTCTGAGCGCCGACTCTGAGCGCCCGCCCGCCTGGCCGCTCACAATGCCGCTCGCCTGGCCGCTCGCCTAGCCGCCCGTCTGGTCGCTCGCCTGGCCGCTCGGCTGGCCGCTCGTCTTTGAGCGCCGGCTTTGAGCGCCGGCTCTGAGCGCCGGCTCTGAGCGCCGGCTCTGAGGGCCTACTCTGAGCGCCGGCTTGGCTGGCCGTTAGGCTTTGAGCGCCGGCTTTGAGCACTGGATTTGAGCGCAGGCTCTGAGCGCCGGCTCTGATCGCCGGCTCCGAGCGCTGGCCCTAAGCGCCGGCTTTGAGCGCCGGCTTTGAGCGCCGGCTCGCCTGTCCGCTCGCCTTGCCGTTCGCCTGGCTGCCCCCCTGGCCGCTCGCCTGGCCGCTCGGCTGGCCGCTCGCCTGGCCCCTCGCCTGGCCGCTTGCCTGGTCGTTCGCCTGGCCGCTCGGCTGGCCGCTCGTCTTTGAGCGCCGGCTCTAAGTGCCGGCTCTGAGCGCCGGCCCGCCTTGCCGCTCGCAATGCCGATCGCCTGGCCGCTCGCCTGGCCGCTCGCCTGGCTGTTCGCCTGGCCGCTCGGCTGGCCGCTCGGTTTTGAGCGCCGGCTCGCCTGGCCGCGCGCCTGGCCGCTCGCCTGCCCGCTCGCCTGGCCGCTCGCCTGGCCGCTTGGCTTTGAGCGCCGGCTCTGAAGGCCGGCTGCGAGAGCCGGCTGTGAGCGCCGGCTGTGGCCGCCGGCTCTGAGCGCCGGCTCTGTGCGCCTGCTCTGAGCGCCGGCTCGCCTGGCCGCTCGCATTGCCGCCCGCTTGCCCGTTCGCATTGCCGCTCGCCTGGCCGCTCGCCTGGCCGCTCGCCTGGCCGCTCGCCTGGCCGCTCGCCTGGCCGCTCGCCTGGCCGCTTGCCTGGTCGCTCGGATGGCCGGTCGTCTTTGAGCGCCGACTCTGAACACTGGCTCTGAGCGCCGGACCTGAGCGCTGGGCGCCGGCCTGACCGCTCGCCTGACCCCTTAGCTTCGAGCGCCGGCTCTGAAGGCCGGCTGTAAGCGCCGGCTGTGAGCGCCGGCTCTGAGCGTCGGCTTTGTGCGCCTGCTCTGAGCGCCGGCTGGCCTGGCCGCTCATATTACCGCTCGCCTGGCCGCTCGCCTGGCCGCTCGCCTGGCCGCTCTCCTGGCCGCTCGCCATGCCGTTCGGCTGGCCGTTAGGCTTTGAGCGCCGGCTTTGAGCACTGGATTTGAGCGCAGGCTCTGAGCGCCGGCTCTGATCGCCGGCTCCGAGCGCAGGCCCTAAGCGCCGGCTCTGAGCACCGGCTTTGAGCGCCGGCTGTGGCCGCCGGCTCTGAGCGCCGGCTCTGTGCGCCTGCTCTGAGCGCCGGCTCGCCTGGCCGCTCGCATTGCCGCCCGCTTGCCCGTTCGCATTGCCGCTCGCCTGGCCGCTCGCCTGTCCGCTCGACTGGCCGCTCGCCTGGCCGCTCGCCTGGCCGCTTGGCTTTGAGCGCCGGCTCCGAAGGCCGGCTGTGAGCGTCGGCTCTGTGCGCCTGCTCTGAGCGCCGGCTCGCCTGGCCGCTCGCATTGCCGCCCGCCTGCCCGCTCGCATTGCCGCTCGCCTGGCCGCTCGCCTGTCCGTTCGACAGGCTGCTCGCCCGGCTGCTCGCCTTGCCGCTCGGCTGGCCGTTAGGCTTTGAGCGCCGGCTCTGAGCACCGGCTCTGAGCGCCGGCTTTGAGCGCCGGCTCGCCTAGCCGCTCGCCTTGCCGCTCGCCTGGCCACTCGCCTGGACGCTCGCCTGGCCGCTCGCCTGGCCGCTCGCTTGGCCGCTCGCCTGGCCGCTCGCCTGGCCGCTCGCCTGGCCGCTCTCCTGGCCGCTCGCCCGGCCGCTTGCCTGGTCGCAGGCCTGGTCGTTCGCCTGTCTTTGAGCGCCGGCTCTGAACGCCGGCTCTGAGCGCCGGACCTGAGCGCTGGCTCTGGGCGCCGGCCCGCCTGGCCGCTCGCCTGGCCCCTTGGCTTCGAGCGCCGGCTCAGAAGGCCGGCTGTAAGCGCCGGCTGTTAGCTCCGGCTCTGAGCGCCTGCTCTGAGCGCCGGCTTGCCTGGCCGCTCATATTACCGCTCGCCTGGCCGCTCGCCTGGCCGGTCGCCTGGCCGCTCTCCTGGCCGCTCGCCTGGCCGCTCGCCTGGCCGCTCGCCATGCCGCTCGGCTGGCCGTTAGGCTGTGAGCGCCGGCTTTGAGCACCGGATTTGAGCGCAGGCTCTGAGCGCCGGCTCTGATCGCCGGCTCTGAGCGCCGGCCCTGAGCGCCGGCTCTGAGCGCCGGCTTTGAGCGCCGGATTTGAGCGCCGGCTCGCCTGTCCGCTCGCCTTGCCGTTCGCCTGGCTGCCCGCCTGGCTACTCGCCTGGCCGCTCGCCTGGCCGCTCGCCTGGCCGCTCGCCTGGCCGCTCGCCTGGCCGCTCGCCTGGCCGCTCGCCTGGCCCCTCGCCTGGCCGCTCGCCTGGCCGCTCGCCTGGTCGCTCGCCTGGCCGCTCGCCTGGCTGTTCGTCTGGCCGCTCGGCTGAGCGCCGGCTCTGAGCGCCGGCTCTGAGCGCCGGCTCTGAGCGCCGGCTCTGAACGCCAGCTCGCCTGGCCGCTCGCCTGGCCGCTTGCCTGGCCGCTCGGCTGACCGCTCGGCTTTGAGCGCCGGCTCTGACCACCGGCTCTGAGTGCGGCTCTGAGCGCCGGCTCTGAGCGCCGGGTCTGAGCGTCTGCTCTGAGCGCCCGCTATGAGCACCGGCTCGCCTGGCCGCTCGCCTGGCCGCTCGCCTGGCCGCTCGCCTGGCCGCTCGCCTGGACGCTCGCCTGGCCGCTAGCCTGGCCGCTCGCCTGGCTGTTCGTCTGGCCGCTCGGCTGGCCGTTAGGCTTTGAGCGCCGGCTTAGAACACTGGACTTGAGCGCAGGCTCTGAGCGCCGGCTCTGAGCACCGGCTCTGAGCGCCGGCATTGAGCGCCGGCTCGCCTGGCCGCTCGCCTTGCCGCTCGCCTAGCCGCTCGCCTGGCCGCTCGCCTGGCCGCTCGCCTGGCCGCTCACCTGGCCGCTCGCATGGCCGCTCGCCGGGCCGCTCGCCTGGCCGCTCGCCTGGCCGCTCGCCTGGCCGCTCGCCTGGCCGCTCGCCTGGCCGCTCGCCTGGCCGCTCGCCTGGCCGCTTGCCTGGTTGCTCGGCTGGCCGGTCGTCTTTGAGCGCCGGCTCTGAACGCCGGCTCTGAGCGCCGGACCTGCGCGCCGGCCCGCCTGGCCGCTCGCCTGACCCCTTAGCTTCGAGCGCCGGCTCTGAAGGCCGGCTGTAAGCTCCGGCTGTGAGCGCCGGCTCTAAGCGTCGGCTTTGTGCGCCTGCTCGGAGCGTCGGCTTGCCTGGCCGCTCATATTACCGCTCGCCTGGCCGCTCGCCTGGCCGCTCGCCAGGCCGCTCTCCTGGCCGCTCGCCATGCCGCTCGGCTGGCCGTTAGGCTTTGAGCGCCGGCTTTGAGCACTGGATTTGAGCGCAGGCTCTGAGCGCCGGCTCTGATCGCCGGCTCCGAGCGCTGGCCCTAAGCGCCGGCTCTGAGCGCCGGCTTTGAGCGCCGGCTTTGAGCGCCGGCTCGCCTGTCCGCTGGCCTTGCCGTTCGCCTGGCTGCCCGCCTGGCCGCTCGCCTGGCCGCTCGCCTGGCCCCTCGCCTGGCCGCTTGCCTGGTCGTTCGCCTGGCCGCTCGGCTGGCCGCTCGTCTTTGAGCGCCGGCTCTAAGTGCCGGCTCTGAGCGCCGGCCCGCCTTGCCGCTCGCAATGCCGATCGCCTGGCCGCTCGCCTGGCCGCTCGCCTGGCTGTTCGCCTGGCCGCTCGGCTGGCCGCTCGGCTTTGAGCGCTGGCTCGCCTGGCCGCGCGCCTGGCCGCTCGCCTGCCCGCTTGCCTTGCCGCTCGCCTGGCCGCTTTGCTTTGAGCGCCGGCTCTGAAGGCCGGCTGCGAGCGCCGGCTGTGAGCGCCGGCTGTGGCCGCCGGCTCTGAGCGCCGGCTCTGTGCGCCTGCTCTGAGCGCCGGCTCGCCTGGCCGCTCGCATTGCCGCCCGCTTGCCCGTTCGCATTGCCGCTCGCCTGGCCGCTCGCCTGGCCGGTCGCCTGGCCGCTCGCCTGGCCGCTCGCCTGGCCGCTCGCCTGGCCGCTCGCCTGGCCCCTCGCCTGACCGCTTGCCTGGTCGTTCGCCTGGCCGCTCGGCTGGCCGCTCGTCTTTGAGCGCCGGCTCTAAGTGCCGGCTCTGAGCGCCGGCCCGCCTTGCCGCTCGCAATGCCGCTCGCCTGGCCGCTCGCCTGGCCACTCGCCTGGCTGTTCGCCTGGCCGCTCGGCTGGCCGCTCGGCTTTAAGCGCCGGCTTTGAGCGCCGGCTCGCCTGGCCGCGCGCCTGGCCGCTCGCCTGGCCGCTTGGCTTTGAGCGCGGGCTCTGAAGGCCGGCTGCGAGCGCCGGCTGTGACCGCCGGCTCTGAGCTCCGGCTCTGTGCGCCTGCTCTGAGCGCCGGCTCGCCTTGCCGCTCGCATTGCCGCCCGCCGACTCTGAGCGCCGGACCTGAGAGCTGGCTCTGAGCGCCGGCCCGCCTGGCCGCTCTCAATGCCGCTCGCCTGGCCGCTCGCCTGGCCGCTGGCATGGTCGCTCGCCTGGACGCTCGCCTGGCCGCTCGCCTGGCCGCTCGCCTGGCCGCTCGCCTGGCCGCTCGCCTGTCTGCTCGCCTAGCCGCTCGCCTTGCCACTCGGCTGGCCGTTAGGCTTTGAGCGCCGGCTTTGAGCACCGGATTTGAGCGCAGGCTCTTTGCGCCGGCTCTGAGCGCCGGCTCTGAGCGCCGGCTAGCTTGGCCTCTCGCCTGTTCGCTCGCCTGGACGCTCACCTGGACGCTCGCCTGGCCGCTCGCCTCCCCGCTCGCCTGGCCGCTCGCCTGGCCGCTCGGCTGGTCGCTCGTCTTTGAGCGCCGGCTTTGAGCGCTGGCTCTGAGCGGCGGCACTTAGCGCCGGCTCTGAGCGGCGGCACTGAGCGCCGGCTCTGAGCGGCGGCTCGCAGCGCCGGCTCTGAGCGCCGGCTCTGAGAGCCGGGTCTGAGCGCCTGCTCTTAGCGCCGGCTTTGAGCGCCGGCTTGCCTGGCCGCTTGCCTTGCCGCTCGCCGGGACGCTTGCCTGGCCGCTCGCCTGGACGCTCGCCAGGCCGCTCGCGTTGCCGCTCACCTGGTTGCTCGCCTGGTCGCTCGCCCGGCCGTTCGCCTGGCCGCTCGGCTCGGCTTCGAGCGCCGGCTTTGAGCGCCGGCTCGCCTGGCCGCGCGCCTAGCCGCTCGTCTGGCCGCTCGCCTGGCCCCTTGGCTTCGAGCGCCGGCTCTGAAGGCCGGCTGTGAGCGTTGGCTCTGAGCGCCGGCTCTGAGCGCCGACTTTGTGCGCCTGCTCTGTGCGCCGGCTCTGAGCGCCGGCTGGCCTGGCCGCTCATATTGCCGCTCGCCTGGCCACTCGCCTGGCCGCTCGCCTGGCCGCTCGCCTGGCCGCTCGCCTGGCCGCTCGCCTGGCCGCTTGCCTGGACGCTCCCCTTGCCGCTCGGCTGGCCGTTAGGCTTTTAGTGCCGGCTTTGAGCGCCGGCTTTGAGCGCCGGCTCGCCTGTCCGCTCGCCTTGCCGTTCGCCTGGCTGCCCGCCTGGCTGCTCGCCTGGCCGCTCGGCTGGCCGCTCGCCTGGCCCCTCGCCTGGCCGCTTGCCTCGTCGTTCGCCTGGCCGCTCGGCTGGCCGCTCGTCTTTGAGCGCCGGCTCTAAGTGCCGGCTCTGAGCGCCGGCCCGCCTTGCCGCTCGCAATGCCGATCGCCTGGCCGCTCGCCTGGCCGCTCGCCTGGCTGTTCGCCTGGCCGCTCGGCTGGCCGCTCGGCTTTGAGCGCCGGCTCGCCTGGCCGCGCGCCTGGCCGCTCGCCTGCCCGCTCGCCTGGCCGCTCGCCTGGCCGCTTGGCTTTGAGCGCCGGCTCTGAAGGCCGACTGCGAGCGCCGGCTGTGAGCGCCGGCTGTGGCCGCCGGCTCTGAGCGCCGGCTCTGTGCGCCTGCTCTGAGCGCCGGCTCGCCTGGCCGCTCGCATTGCCGCCCGCTTGCCCGTTCGCATTGCCGCTCGCCTGGCCGCTCGCCTGGCCGCTCGCCTGGCCGCTCGCCTGGCCGCTCGCCTGGCCGCTTGCCTGGTCGCTCGGATGGCCGGTCGTCTTTGAGCGCCGACTCTGAACGCTGGCTCTGAGCGCCGGACCTGAGCGCTGGGCGCCGGCCCGCCTGGCCGCTCGCCTGACCCCTTAGCTTCGAGCGCCGGCTCTGAAGGCCGGCTGTAAGCGCCGGCTGTGAGCGCCGGCTCTGCGCGTCGGCTTTGTGCGCCTGCTCTGAGCGCCGGCTGGCCTGGCCGCTCATATTACCGCTCGCCTGGCCGCTCGCCTGGCCGCTCACCTGGCCGCTCTCCTGGCTGCTCGCCATGCCGTTCGGCTGGCCGTTAGGCTTTGAGCGCCGGCTTTGAGCACTGGATTTGAGCGCAGGCTCTGAGCGCCGGCTCTGATCGCCGGCTCCGAGCGCAGGCCCTAAGCGCCGGCTCTAAGCGCCGGCTTTGAGCGCCGGCGTTGGCCGCCGGCTCTGAGCGCCGGCTCTGTGCGCCTGCTCTGAGCGCCGGCTCGCCTGGCCGCTCGCATTGCCGCCCGCTTGCCCGTTCGCATTGCCGCTCGCCTGGCCGCTCGCCTGTCCGCTCGACTGGCCGCTCGCCTGGCCGCTCGCCTGGCCGCTTGGCTTTGAGCGCCGGCTCTGAAGGCCGGCTGTGAGCGTCGGCTCTGTGCGCCTGCTCTGAGCGCCGGCTCGCCTGGCCGCTCGCATTGCCGCCCGCCTGCCCGCTCGCATTGCCGCTCGCCTGGCCGCTCGCCTGTCCGTTCGACTGGCCGCTCGCCCGGCCGCTCGCCTTGCCGCTCGGCTGGCCGTTAGGCTTTGAGCGCCGGCTCTGAGCACCGGCTCTGAGCGCCGGCTTTGAGCGCCGGCTCGCCTAGCCGCTCGACTTGCCGCTCGCCTGGCCACTCGCCTGGACGCTCGCCTGGCCACTTGCCTGGACGCTCGCTTGGCCGCTCGCCTGGCAGCTCGCCTGGCCGCTCGCCTGGCCGCTCTCCTGGCCGCTCGCCCGGCCGCTTGCCTGGTCGCAGGCCTGGTCGTTCGCCTGGCCGCTCGGCTGGCCGCCTGTCTTTGAGCGCCGGCTCTGAACGCCGGCTCTGAGCGCCGGACCTGAGCGCTGGCTCTGGGCGCCGGCCCGCCTGGCCGCTCGCCTGGCCCCTTGGCTTCGAGCGCCGGCTCAGAAGGCCGGCTGTAAGCGCCGGCTGTTAGCTCCGGCTCTGAGCGCCTGCTCTGAGCGCCGGCTTGCCTGGCCGCTCATATTACCGCTCGCCTGGCCGCTCGCCTGGCCGGTCGCCTGGCCGCTCTCCTGGCCGCTCGCCTGGCCGCTCGCCATGCCGCTCGGCTGGCCGTTAGGCTTTGAGCGCCGGCTTTGAGCACCGGATTTGAGCGCAGGCTCTGAGCGCCGGCTCTGAGCGCCGGCTCTGAGCGCCGGCCCTGAGCGCCGGCTCTGAGCGCCGGCTTTGAGCGCCGGATTTGAGCGCCGGCTCGCCTGTCCGCTCGCCTTGCCGTTCGCCTGGCTGCCCGCCTGGCTACTCGCCTGGCCGCTCGCCTGGCCGCTCGCCTGGCCGCTCGCCTGGCCGCTCGCCTGGCCGCTCGCCTGGCCGCTCGCCTGGCCCCTCGCCTGGCCGCTCGCCTGGTCGCTCGCCTGGTCGCTCGCCTGGCCGCTCGCCTGGCTGTTCGTCTGCCGCTCGGTTGAGCGCCGGCTCTGAGCGCCGGCTCTGAGCGCCGGCTCTGAACGCCGGCTCGCCTGGCCGCGCGCCTTGCCGCACGCCTGGCCGCTCGCCTGGCCCCTTGGCTTCGAGCGCCGGCTCTGAAGGCCGGCTGTGAGCGCCGGCTGTGAGCGCCGGCTCTGAGCGCCGGCTTTGTGCGCCTGCTCTGAGCGCCGGCTCGCCTGGCCAGTCAAATTGCCGCTCATATTGCCGCTCGCCTGGCCGCTCGCCTGGCCGCTCGCCTGGCCGCTCGCCTGGCCTCTCGCCTGGCCGCTCGACTGGTCGCTCACCTGGCCGCTCGCCTGGCTGTTCATCTGGCCGCTCGGCTGGCCGTAAAGCTTTGAGCGCCGGCTTTGAGCACCGGATTTGAGCGCCGGCTCTGAACGCCGGCTTGCCTGGCCGCTCGCCTGGCCGCTTGCCTGGCCGCTCGGCTGACCGCTCGGCTTTGAGCGCCGGCTCTGAGCACCGGCTCTGAGTGCGGCTCTGAGCGCCGGTTCTGAGCACCGGGTCTGAGCGCCGGCTATGAGCGCCGGCTATGAGCACCGGCTCGCCTGGCCGCTTGCCTGGCCGCTCGCCTGGCCGCTCGCCTGGACGCTCGCCTGGCCGCTCGCCTGGCCGCTCGCCTGGCCTCTCGCCTGGCCGCTCACCTGGTCGCTTGCCTGGCCGCTCGCCTGGCTGTTCGTCTGGCTGCTCGGCTGGCCGTTCGGCTTTGGGCGCCGGCTTTGAGCGCCGGCTCTGACCGTCGGCTCGCCTGGCCGCGCGCCTGGCCGCTCGCCTTCGTTGCTCGCCTGGCCGCTCGCTTGGCCGCTCGCCTGGCCGCTTGGCTTTGAGCGCCGGCTCTGAAGGCCGGCTGTGAGCGCCGGCTCTGAGCGTCGGCTCTGTGCGCCTGCTCTGAACGCCGGCTCGCCTGGCTGCTCGCATTGCCGCCCGCCTGCCCGCTCGCATTGCCGCTCGCCTGGCCGCTCGCCTTTCCGTTCGACTGGCTGCACGCATGGCCGCTCGCCTTGCCGCTCGGCTGGCCGTTAGGCTTTGAGCGCCGGCCCTGAGCAACGGCTTTGAGCGCCGGCTCGCCTAGCCGCTCGCCTTGCCGCTCGCCTAGCCGCTCGCCTGGCCGCTCGCCGGGCCGCTCGCCTGGCCGCTCGCCTGGCCGCTCACTTGGCCGCTCGCCTGGCCGCTCGCCTGGCCGCTCGCCTGGCCGCTCGCCTGGCCGCTCGCCTGGCCGCTTGCCTGGTCGCTCGGCTGGTCGTTCGCCTGGCCGCTCGGCTGGCCGCTCGTCTTTGAGCGCCGGCTCTGAACGCCGGCTCTGTGCGCCGGACCCGAGCGCTGGCTCTAAGCGCCGGCCCGCCGGGCCGCTCGCATTGCCGCTCGCCTGGCCGCTTAAATGGTCGCTCGCCTAGTCACTCGCCTGGCCGCCCGCCTGGCCGCTCGCCTGGCCGCTCGCCTTGCCACTGGGCTTGCCGTTATGCTTTGAGCGCGGCTCTGAGCGCCGGCTCTGAGCGCCGGCTTTGAGCGCCGGCTCTGAGCGCCGGCTCTGAGTGCCGGCTCGCCTGGCCGCTCGCCTGGCCACTCGCCTGGTCGCTCGCCTCGCCGCTCGCCTGGACGCGTGCCTGGCCGCTCGCCTGGCCGCTCGCCTGGCCGCTCGCCTGGCCGCTCGCCTTGCCGCTCGGTAGACAGCTCGGCTTTGAGCGCAGGCTCTGAGCACCGGCTCTGAGTGCGGCTCGGAGCGACGGCTCCGAGCACCGGCTCTGAGTGCGGCTCTGAGCGCCGGCTCTGAGCGCTGGCTCTGAGCGCCTGCTCTGAGCGCCTGCTCCAAGCGGCCAGGCGAGTGGCATTGCATCGAGTCGCGCCAAGCGAGAGGCCAGGCGAGCTGCCAGACGAGCGGCCAGGCAAGCGACAAGGCGGGCGGCCAAGCGAGCGACCAGGCGAGTGGCCAGGCAAGCGGCCAGGCGAGCGGCAAGGGGAGCCGCCAGACGAGCGGCGAGGTTGTAGGCCGGGCGAGCGGCCGGGCTGGCGCCAAGGCGAGCGGCATTGCGAGCGGCCAGGCGAGTGACCAGTCGAGCGGCCAGGCTAGCGGCCAGGCGAGCGGCGATACGAGCGGCCAGGCTGACCGGCGCTCAGAGCCAGCGCTCAGGTTCCACGTTCAAAACCGGCACTCAGAGCCGGCGATCAGATTCCGGCGCTTAGATCCGGCGCTCAAAGCCGGCGCTCAAAGACGAATATCCAGCCGAGCGGCCATGCGAGCAGCAAGGCGAGCGGCCGGCGCTCAGAGACAGCGCTGAGAGCCGGCGCTCAAATCCATTGCTCAAAGCCGGCCCTCAAAGCCTAACGGCCAGCCGAGCGGCAAGGCGAGCGGCCAGGGTAACGCCAGGCTAGCGACCAGGCGAGCGGCCATGCGAGCGGCCAGGCGAGCGGCCAGGCAAGCGGCCAGGCGAGAGGCCAGGCGAGCGGCCAGGCGAGCGGCAATGCGAGCGGCAAGCCGAGCCGGAGCTCAAAGCCGGCACTCAGAGCCGGCGCACAGAGCCGGCGCTCACAGCCTGCGCTCACAGCCGGCGTTTACAGCCGACGTTCAGAGCCGTCGCTCAATACCGAGCTGCGCTCAGAGCCGGCGCACAGAGC